TTCTCTGAAGAAGAAAAAGTGTGCTTGCACACAAAAGCTTATACCTGGAATAAAACACTGTTGGTCATCTTAAAAGTCCCAAAAGACACCATCCCCCCCATCTCTTCCCCCCCCCTTCCCTCCCCAGCATAGAGTTAATTGCTTTTCGGGCAGATTGCAGCCTTGCAGGGGCCAAATCCAGCGCACAGGATATGTGTTTGACACCTCTGACCTATGGGCTAGTGTCATCTGTCTGTGAGCAAATGTAGGAATCTATCATTTCAAAGTTATCTGGAGCTGTATACTCAGGAGACACCTCATTGTGTTATACATGTTTAACTTGTAGAATTCCATACTCTATACCAAGAGTCTTCAACTCTTTTGAACCTGTGGCACCTTTGGAATTCTGACACAAGGTGGTGGGTGCACTGGCTGCCACAGGAAGTAGAGCCAACTAGAATATTTCTGGGCGTGAGGTCATGCATAACTCTCATAGTAACTCATCAATGTTTCAGGCAGAACCTCTGTTTAACAGGATACTGTTTAAAAATATCATCTTGCATACACACAGCTTACTTCAATAAGGCAGTGAAGATCACTGTGTTGTGGTGGCTGCTGTTGCTGTTGAAACTTTGTTTTTAAAAATCTGCACAGCCAATCCCATCTCAAATGGCCAGTCAGAAGCCCTGCTGGGCAAATCCCTCACCTGCTTCCTAACGACACTTGGTGGGTGCTAGGACTGGTAGTTGGTAAGCAATATGGTGGCCAAGGGCACTACATTGGGAGCCCTGGTCTACACTCCATGCGTGTGTGCTCGCATGTGCCTGTGTGTTGATCTTTTTCTGGGATGTGATGTACCTTGTTCTGTCATACTGGGAGTGGTCGCTCCCAATTCTCTGGGTCCTTTTAGTGCTGCCAATCTGTGTAATCCTAGCCAGAATACAAAATGGAGTAGTTTGGTGTAGTGGTTAAGTGTGCGGACTCTATCTGGGAGAACCAGGTTTGATTCCCCACTCCTCCACTTGCACCTGGATGGATGACCTTGGGCAAGCCGTAGTTCTGATAAGAGCTGTTCTTGAAAAAGAGCAGTTTCTGTCAGAGCTCTCTCAGCTTCACCTACCTCACAGGGTGTCTGTTGTGGGGAGGGAAAGGGAAAGGAGACACCTTTGGGTAGTGAAGGGTGGGGTATAAATCCAAACTCCTACTCCTACTCCTCTTCTTCTTTGGAATATTGACAGCTGTTTTATAATCCAACCAGACAGTTGCATAATTAGCAATGTTTATAACGATGTTATTAACATTTTAGTGCTTTATCATATGAATGCCTTTTTGAGTTATTCTAATACGTTACTGCTGTGGTCAGATGTGCAGTTTGATCTGGTGTGGCCCCACTTCTAATTGATCCAGGGTTTGTTTGTTTTTAACAGAGAGTTTTGATTAGACCTCCCCTTTTAACCCACTTCAATGTCCTTTCACCCCGTGGTTGAGTGATCAGATACAACAGCCATGGAGTGGGGTGGTTGGGCAGGGTTTTTTTTAACCACTTGTCTTTTGAGCATGCACATAAATGCTTATGGGAAGCAGCACTTCAGACTCCTGGCAGAATGGTGGCAGCTGTTGGCCAATGGGATTGTTGGAGAAGGTTGCTGGGTAATGTAGTTCAGTGTGAAGGAAGTATTTTTGAAACTGTGTTTTTGATCAATTCAGCGTTTCAAACATTTCAAAGCGGGGGGGGGGGATAATAAAGAAGCCTCATCCTGTGTCCTGCTGGCATTTTTATTTCAAAGCTTGGAATGAAACTGGAGTCATGGGTATCATTCTCAGATTGCCCCCTTCCCTCCCTCACTGAAAAAAATCATCTTTTAAATTAACCCCTCCCCCACACCTTGACTGGACAGCACAGAAAAAAGTACACAGACATCTTTCTTTGGAAGCTATTTTAAAAACAACAACAACACAGTTTTGAGAAGTTCCTCTGTGTGTGTGAGAGAGTTGTGAATATGTAGTTATGCACACCTCACTAACTGCCTAAAACAAAAGCCCCAAACCAGAAGGCAACGTTCAGACTTCCCAAGTGGCTTGAAAGTATGATGGATTGATCAGACATCTGGAAATGCACCAGGAAGGACCAGACTTTTCCCAGTGCCAAATAACTCCAGCTCGAAGACGGGTGAGAATGGGGTGCCCCTGATTGGAGAACAGATGTTGCTGTCTGGATACACATTTTAAATCTGGGAGGGAAAAGCAATGACACCAGATCAAACAGCACATCTGATCACAGCCTCAGTTTATGCTTTCAATATGTTGTGTTTTACAAATGTATATGGTAAATGTGTGTAATTAAGATGCCTTGGTAAATGGCTTTGTGGAATTAGCAGTGTGGTTTTACAAGGTAACTCACCAAATTGCTCTGCAAAATAGGCCTGTGGGAACTGAATACAAGATTGAGGAACTAAATCCTTTTTTCTTTTTTTTTTAAGGAAGTTTTTACTTCTACTGGATGTTCAAATAGGCTTGAAGCTGTGTAGGCACTGACTGGAAATGTTTCAAGAAGCTGAGGATTTTAGCTTAGCAGGATTTTCAGTTGTGGGGGCGACAGTATCCTGCACAGATTTTCAGTTTTCTGCATCAGTAGAAGGAGGCGAACAGTGAATTTCTTAGCAGGGTTACACACTTCTAAACTAGGCTTGCCAGAGATCTGTCTGCAAAATCTGGGAGATTTGTTGGTTGGTGCCTGGGGAGAGGGTTGCATCTAACCTGAAAGTTATATCACTTCCAAATGACCCTCTAGGACCTCCCTCCCCCCATCTCAATGGTGAAAAGATAGCGATTGGGAATATTCCTATAGAGTAGCTGTAGAATTGGCTTTTTAAAATTAAAGAATGTCGTGTACTAATTTTACTTTGCTGCAGAACTTTTGAGTGTTATCTGTAATATGGAATTCACTTTGTCCCATCTGTAGATACATATCCAATGCATAACTCTGTATAACCTTTTGTTGGAGCCTACCCTAGTGGAAAAATCACATTTTTTTATATAACTCTGCTGATTCCTGCAGCATGGTTTACAAAGTCATCTTGCATATGCATAATGATGTTTGCTCCTTTTGTGGGCAAAAAAATCTCTGCAATCATATCTGTAATTTACTTTTTATGTTCTTCCCTTTTTCCACCTAGCTGGACAACGCAGATGAACAGGCAGCTCAAATTAGACGGGAACTTGATGGGCGCCTCCAGCAGGCTGACCAAATGGCAAAAGTAAGCTTGTTATCATGTTTCTTGCTTTAAGACATAAAACATCTCCAATCATGTTTAAGTATATGTTACTTTTATTTGCTCATAGTACTGTGCTGCTGTTGCAAGTTTGGATCCCCCAGAGGATTTCTATGAACAGAATGGGTGTGTGTGTGCTTTGTCAGTTTCCCCCTCTTGCTGCAGAGCTCTGGCTCCTCCCTCATTTTGTTCCTGAGGGTCCCCCATCACCGAGGAGCAGCATTTGAGGGCATGCTGGGTTGCATCAGGAGGGGTGAAGCAAAGAAGTTGTGCTCCACTGATGGCAATCCTTTCCATTGGGGGGGGGGGGAAATATTGCCTGGAATCCAAGCCATTGTGTCTGTATCCCCAAACTCTGTTTTCCCCAATGATATCTCTCCTTATATATAATTGAGTTTTCATCCCCCAACATTCTATGCGCGCCAAAATAGGTTGGCTGCATGAACTGCCAGTCAGAAAACGCTGGCTGGGTTGGCTGGCTGCTTTGTGGAGTCCCACCCACGTCAGCCCCGGCCAGGGTCTTCAGCTCACTCTCCTCTGGTCCTTGTAGAGGACGGGACCGTCTGCAGGCTAAGCCAGGGGAAGGCCTCCACAGGTCCAGCGAACCATGTGGCCTTCCTCAGCCTGCAGAACTGAGAGGGAATCACAGCACTGGCGAGGGTGGCTTGGCCGCGTCCTGGCCATCTGCTGCAAGTGAGCGCCGCCTCCAGGAACTGGGGAAGGGAGGCTGCGATGCCAGGTGACAGGGGCTGGGGGTGCAGCGAAGGCAGGCCCGGCGGCAGGAGGAAGCGGCACCCCTGGAGAAGCGAATTGGAAGCGAGGGGGATGGGAGAAGGCGGAGATGGAGGAGGAGGAGGTTGGTCATGAATGGGCAGGTGGTCTGCCTCGCTCCACCACCTTGGGGGCGGCTCTGCCGGCCCCAGCTGGCCTCAGAGATGGGGGAGGCAGCTGCGCTGCGCTTCCCTCGCCCAGCGCGGCTGGATACGGGGAGGAGGTGGCCCCTTCTTCGGGGGAGTTCCCTCCGCTGGCCTCGGGGAAGGGGGAGGCAGCCGCGCTGTGCTTCCCCAGCGTGGCCTCGTGGCGGGCCCTGCTTCAGGGGGCAAGCAAGAACAGCCCCCTTCTCTGCTACAAGGCCTCTCTTTGGCAGCCGCGCCGGGCTTCCCTTGCCCGGAGCGGCCTCTGCCAGCCAGGCTGTAGGCCCTGCGTTTTGGGGGGGCTCCACCAGCACCAACTGGGCTCAGAGAGGGAGGAGGCGGCCGCGCTGTGCTTCCCTCGCCCAGCGCGTCCTCCGCCGCCCAGGCTGTGGGCCCTGTGTTGGGGGGGCTCCACCAGCCCCCAACTAGGCTAGGGAAGGGGGGAGCCGGCCGCACTGCGCTTCCCTCACCCACCACGCTCTGGCTGTCCTTCGGGGGGCGGGCAACGGGCCGGCCCCTAGTTTAAATATATTTGACAGTTAGAAGTCCAGATATTTCAGTACATGTTGTATATACCCACCGACATACAGACACAAATGCTTAGGTCTTGTTTTTATTCTGTTTGTTTACTGAATGTGCAGTATCAACTTTGCCGCTTGTATAAAAGAAACAGTCTTACTGAAAACAGTCCAAACAACTTTAGCGGTTTCTAATGGTTTGTGAAGATTCCTACCCATTCCTATGCATTTCTAGATATAGATTTGTAAAGTGGAAAAGGGCTGTATGGGCCAGAGGACCATCTAGTCCAACGCCCCAGCTCAGTGCAGGAAACCAAAAGCTAGAACATTGCTGACAGATGGCTGCCCTTGCTCCTGCTTGAAAACCTCCATCATTGCATCTGTTGTCAGACTACTCTTACTGTTCAGAGTAGGGTTGCCAGGCATGGCCTGTCAATCAGCAGGAGTGGGGAGGGGGCTGGCATCAATGACATAACAACACTGCTGGTGAAAGCCCAGAAGAGATGTCACACCTCTCTATGAAGCGGTTTCCAGCAAGTGCAAACTCTTAAAATGAAACTTCAGTTTTCCATCTCCTGCTAGCAATTAGAACTGTGGTACAAAAATATATATTGGAAAGTAATTCTAAAACATTTAGGAGTTTCAGACACACTATTTAAGAAAAGAAAAAGGCACATGTTAAATGTATTTTCAAGTTACAGCTACAATGGATCATTGATGCTTAGGCTTATTTCTATTTTATATCCTGGTAAAATATTGTGTTTCTTCATTCTTGTGCAATGCCCTCAGCTTGAAAGGTTCAAGGTTTTCTGTGTTAACTGCAGGACTGTCAGTTAAGAATATAGACATGTTAACTGCTATTCTATGTTATGTTTGTGAGTGTTTTCAAAAGGTAATAATGTGAGACCACAATTACCATTTTTTAAAGTGCTGCCAGAGCTGTCAGGAGCTTCTTCCGATGCTTTTTTCCTCTTTCAGGCCAGTCTGTAGTTTGTAATTACATCTAGACTCTGTTGTGTGTAAACTATGATGGTCTGCTAAATCTGGTTTATTCAGGCCAACTGTATTGTTTGTTTTGTCACCAATGAGGAAGAATTAGGGCCAAATTACATTTATTTACTTCATGTGTACCCTGTCTTTCTCCTCAATGGGGACACAAGGAGGTTTGCGTCATTCTCCTCTCCTCCATTTTATCTTCACAACAGCTGTGTGAGGTAGGTTAGCCTGAGAGAGTGTGACTGGCCCAAGGTCACCCAGCGAGCTTCCATGGCATGAGTGGGGATTTGAAACCAGGTCTCCCAGATACTACTCTGAAACTCTTAATCACTATACCAAACTGGCTCACTATATGATATGTGTAACCCATGCTGGCGCATGAGTGCACAACCAGACTCGCCATCAGATGTGCATCAAAGACTTCATCTTAAAAAGTATCATTCACTTGGTGTTGTGAGGGAGCTCTGCAAGGGGGGAGAAGAAGCGTCCAGTGTTCCTTCTACCCCACTTCCATCAGATGTTGGAAAGGGTAGCATTTTTAAGGGAATATAGAATAAAGAAAAGAAGCTATAGGGTTCTCCTGGCTGCTACTGTGGAAGCCAGGGCCCTAGAAGAGAAAAGCATGGCATCAAGGCTGGTATCTGCAGAGAAAGAAGAGGCCTGAAGGAGTCTATTTGCTCCCTCAGCCAGGCGCTTGTTAGAATCCACAATCAGCTGGGACATCTTTTTGGACCTGGCAATAGAAGCTCTAACTACCACCGTGGCAGTAGCTCTGATGGCCATGGTTGTAGCTTCATGAGCTTTGCATAAGGCAAATTCGACTATCCTGTCTAGACTATCTCTTACCATGCCTTCACCATCTTCAGAAAGCAGGCCCGAGGTCTGAAGAGCACTAATAGGAGTGTCCACTAGAGGGACCTGCACTACCTGGAGACTTAACCTGGCCCTCGATGCGCTAACCAAGCCACCCTTCGAACCAATCAAGGACATTCCCCTCAAGTGGCTCCATATGAAAACCCTGTTCTTAGTAGTGGTGACCTCTGCTCGTAGAGTATTGGAGTTGGGAGCTCTTTCAGCTAACCCACGCCTTTGTGTGTTCCACAAGGACAAAGTCGTCTTGGTTCCTTTCGACCTAGGGTCAATTCCAAGTTCCACTGATCTCAGGAAATATATATTCCTTCGTTCTGTCCAAATCCTTCCCATTCACAGGAATGCATCTGGCATTCCCCCGAGCTCTGAAGGCATTCCTTCATCGTACCAGCAACTTTCAAAAATCAGAGTCCTTGTTCATTTCAGTATCTCCACCCAATAAGGGGTGCAAGATGTCTAGTTCTTCCATAAGTTCTGTACTCAAGCTGTGCATTGCTGAAGCCTACCGAGCAAAAAAGCTGGTTCCTCCAACGGGTATCACCGCTCACTCGATTCGTGCACTACGTGCACCAGCGCGGCCTTCTTGAACAGAGCTTCGGTGGAGGAAATCTGCAAGGCTGCCATATGGTCCTCAGTTTCAACCTTCATTAAACACTACAGGATCAACATCTTTGATTCAGCGGACGCTGGTTTCGGCAGGAGAGTTTTGCAACAGGTCATGACAGAGTAGATGATGACCCACCCGAAGATTACGGACACTGCTCTAGGAGGTCCCAGCAAGATGTCCTCCTCTCAGAGGGAGAACGGGCCATTGGTACTTAAACGTAAAGGGTCCTTCTCCTCTGAGATGAAGGAGGACATCTTGGGCCCTCCCATCTCATCGTCATCTCTGTCTGTTCTATTTCTTTCAATGCTAACCTCAACTTTCCTGTCCTTTTGATAGTTTTTCAAGTTTGTATTATCATGTTGGTTGAATTTTCCAGTTTTTTAGCTAGTTTACTGCTTCTCGGAGTTCCTAACTGAAACCAGGGGTGTGTCCCACCAAGAGGACAGGAAATGAAAATTTGGTTTCTGCCTCCCTAAGGATTTGGGGGCCTAAATGATGACCAGATATCCTTCCTTAATGCCACGCTCTCTAAACTTCAAACATTCCAGGAGGGCCACCTGATCATTAAATTTTATTGCTGATACTGCTTTAAACCGCTCGCATACCAAACCTAGGAAACAAAGACAGCAGAAATCCTCAACCAGATTGCTGAAACTACTTGAATAATTTAATCTCATAGATACCTGGAGAATGAAGCATCTTCAAGAAAGTGATTTTTCCTATTTTCCGCAAAACACAATGTCTTCATGCGAATTGATTTTATTTTGATCTCTTCTTCGTTAATGCTTCACCTACAATCAGCTAACATCGGCCCCAGGCATCTGTCCGACCATGCATGGCTGGATTGCCACATTCAAAATTTTACGGAAGAAACAGCAAACAGACAATGGTCCTTGGACACCTCCATTTTATTGCATGCTTCAATTACAGAACAATTAAATAAAGATATCCTAAACTTCTTGGAAATACATAAGGGCTCTGAAACAATTCCTGCGATACAGTGGGATGCATTGAAAGCAGTCCTCCAACATTTCAGCAACCACACATCTGAAACAAGAAACACAAAAGCTGAGACTGGAC